CCCCATCGGATGAAGTCTGAAACAAGGGTTTATGTTTTGAACATGTATGCATCTATCATTATTTCTTGCCTTGACTGATTTTGTTCAAAGTTGGTACAAAAACAATATCTAGCTATACATTGGTGCCTTTATTTGTTTAAATAACCTTTGACAGAGTGGTGGGTATTTTTATCTCCAAAACACACAAAAAAAATGTCATAAATCGTTTCTCAGGCATGCATTGGCCAATTTCTTTCAAACTTGATATGCATATCAATCATGATGGGTTACTGATGCACATGAGTTTGTTTTGTGATTTTTTTTAAAGTGGTCGACTGGTGTAAATTTTTGTTTTATTTTAGTGTCTCATTGACTACATTTCATTTCTCAGACCTGCTTTAACCGATTTTAGTACAGACTTGGTGTTTTGTTTTGTGATTTGACAATGATTGACATCATGCTTACATAAATAACCAGATGTGATCAGAGTCAGTATACTGCAAATTCCTCCATTTCTATTGGAGATGTGCTTGTAATAGAGCAAGTATTGTATATACAATAATTTGAATTGAAAAAATTATCAGTTTCAGCTGATCTGATGTGTGCATGGTATACCGGTATATATATACTTTGTCTTGACTGATTTAATGAAATAAGATTAGTTACTTATACAAGCATTTATTTTTCATAGCCAAAAATGGCTGTCTGGTAGCCATTTTGTATTTCTTTAACCTTTTCACCACTAGCTAGTTCTCTCTTTTCATGGCAAATTCACAAAGTTTTGTTTATAGTCTGCATGTTGCTTCAGAAGATTGGGACAAAAATAGCCAAATTTTTTGAGTAAAAACTGAAAATTGACTCAAGTTTTGTCTGTTGGCTCCAAAATTAGTGTTTATTTCCCGAAATATTGAGGAATATAAGAAAGTCTTGTGGTGAAAAGGTTAATATGTATGCAACTTGAGTATAATTAATGTTTATTACATTGTCTAGTTTTGTAATATGTAAGTGGAAACATATTAATTTACCAGGGGTAATTGATATATTTGTTGCAGTTGGTACCACAAAGATAAGAGATGGAAAGACTATGTTAGACGAAGAAGATGGGTCAGGTCTGTTGATTTACTCACAGTAAACATACATATGTACTAATGACTTGAGATCTTATGGGTTTCTACTCTGATTTTACAAAAAATGGAGAATATTTAATGACCTTGTACTAATAAAGCAATTAAACAGCATTTAAGATATGGAAATATGAGCACACTTCAACATTTCAAACTTCTCATTGTTTTGCATGTACAGTTAATTCCACCTGAGTTTACAAGTGTGGAATCAGCCTAAGATGTATTTGAATCAATGTAGCATAAGTGAAAACTGCTGCTAGGATTGGAAAATAAAAACTATTTCATTAAGAACAAAATACTTTTGACAACTGGTAAATCTTTTAGTTTTAG